AGCAGTGACTGGCTGTATGCTTCCTGCCTTATTTTTAAGTCCTAACCAGCTTTGATCTCTCCACTGTAGCTATGTTTTCATTTCTTCCCACTGCTCCCCATGCAGAGAGATAATTGAATTGTCAGTGCTTCTTTGGGATTGAGAAAGTAATGCACCTTTACTGAGTGCTTTGGTATAAAGGTAGAGTCAAAAGTCTCTAACTGCAGTACACCTTAGGTCCTGGAGATCAGAATTTCTATAATTATAAGGTTAAGGGAAAATAAATAGAGATTTAAAATGTCTTTATTATCTGCCACTGAACAGTTGGAGGCAACAAGTGCTACTACAGACAGTTCTTGTGGTAAGTATATCCACTGCTTAATCTGGGGCTGAGCTCTTGTCACTGATGAGTAGAGAAACTGCAATATGCATGCAGTATTTGTACAGTCCCAAGACCAAGCACTGGCTGTTTCCAGTAGAAAAAGGGGCACATTTCTTATACCAAAATTGCAGTCAAAGGACAGGTAAATGAAAGGTAAAAGGCAAAGCCTGACACCTGACACCTTACTTACCTGCTGGTGGTGCTAAAAGAACGATGGTATATAATAAATGCACACTGTCAAAAAGAGAACATTTCTAGCCTGGACTTGTGGCTGCTGGGAGAAAGCAACAAAGGCATGTGGCAATTTACTGAACTGTTCAGTTTCTTTAGAAAAAGAAAAAAAAAAAAAAGAAAAAAAAATTAGTTTGCTGGAGGTCTTTGTACTTTCCCCAGTTTAGTCCAAAGCATGTTTGTGTCATTTGATGCTTTGACTTGTGACCTGCCTTTCAGATTAAGCAATGCTTGGCGGGGGGCACAAGGGGCATGAGGGTTTTTTGGGGTGGTAGGAGTAGGGGGATGACTGGCTTCTTAGTGCCACACAGCCTATAAATCCATCCTGGCGGCAGGCAAATAAGCCACTCAGTTTACTGGTGTGCGCTTCATCAAATCCACTCATTCCTAGCTTCATATCCTGTATCAATTACTCTGTTCTGTGTGGCTCCCCTGTCTCATTTTCACTCCATTGGTCACCTGCCCAAATTCTCTCCATACAGGGGGACAGGGAACAGGCAGAGAAGGAAAGACAGGAGGGTTCTCATTACAAATCTGGATTTGAGACAACACATTTAATCCTTAAAGCAAAACTACTCCAGTGACAGTTAAAATGTTCGGTCTCCCCAGTCTATTGCCCGAAATGGTATTGTTTATTACAATCCCTTAACATTATGTCATGAGCTTGCAAATACATGAGCGTGGCATATGATCATCCTCCCGAAAGGAATAGCAAAGGCAGCAAGAAGGAACAAATGCCGTCTTACAGGTTTCTGTTTCAGCAAGGGCTGTAGCTATCACTGTCAATGATGTCAAGGTTATCCTGAAATGTGTGCCCAGTGATGTATTTCTTGCTACTTGCCTCACTGCTGAGGCAGCAATTCACTCAACACCAGCAGGATCATGCAGAGGTAACTGGAAGCTTTGCCTCAGTCCCTGTGGAGAAAGCAGTGGCCCCGTGTTTATTGTGGGAGCTTTCTGTGTGTACAAAGCTCAGCACAACTGGGCCAGATCTCAGATTACGGGGTAGGGGGGCTTTGGTGGCTTATTAGCACAAATGAGAGACATTGTTCAAAGAAACCAAATAACATGAGCATCTGGTAAAGGCAGCATCTAGATAATATACACCAAACAGTTATTGTGTTATGCACAAGCAAAGTGCCCAATGCCAAATAATCTTCACAAGAAAGCAGTCTTCCAAGTCTTTTGAGAAGCATGAATCAAACAGTGGCCCAAACTCAGTTGAGAGCTCCATGCAGGGGCTGTGTTCCAGCTCCCAGTGCTTGTAGTCATCTTTACCCAGACTGTTCAACTAAGTAAACTCAGAATTATTCTAAAGAAAATGGTCCTCTGTAAAAGCTGCTAGATTTATTTACCAGGGTTTTACATGAAACTCCATCATGTTGCCCTCTCTTGAACTGTGTCTATTCCTTTCACTTTTCAAAATAAGTCAGCTAGGTTCAAGCTTCCCTACTTCCCATGAAAGTTCTTACTGACAAATTTCAAAACTGCCTGTTTCACTGAATTTTCACTCTACCTTGACATTTCTCTAATGGCTCTATTCTTCATATCTTAGACAGGTAGTGTACAAGTTTATATTGAATAGTAGCTTTAGCCATGAAATAGAGTTTCAGACAAGTTGCCCAAGACTCACTATTCAAACAGTCAAAGAAAGCATGCAGAATCAATTATCAATCTTTTTAAATTTCCTTAAAATCCCTTATGTTCAGGGTGTAATGTTTTGAAACAATCTTTTAAAACTGAGGCAGTCTCAGGCCTCTTGTCTTGGTGTTTAGGAGGAAAAGCTTTGCCAAAGCTGGTGAATGTTCTGTGAGCGCCAACGCGTAGGTTCATGTGAAGGCCTTCCAGTGTTGCCTGGCTGCTGTCCTGGACAGCTCCTGTTTTGTGACTCATCAGGAAATCTGGATGTTCATCAGCCTCACCTCTCCCTGGTGACTCAAATAAAGCTGGCCAGGAATGGAGCAATGGTGGCTCCGAGGGTGGATGTACATCAAAGATATCCAAGCCTGCCAGGGGAGGCCAGTGACCTACTGCTCCTCTCAGAAGAGGAGATGAGGTTTCTGTGCTTGTGCTGGAAACCCTAATGATGGGGGAAATGGAGGCTGGAGACTCCTGAGAGATGTTTTCAAAACCCCCAGGGAATTAAGAGACAAAAATATTCCCTCTGTGGGCTTTCTCACCCACCTGGGCAACAACAATGGGCAAGTTTTTTAACCTGTGCTTTTAAACAAAAAATTAAAGCCCATAATCTGCCACGGAGATTTCCTTAACTGGGTCTTAGTTTTTAAAGAATATATCCAGAATTTGCCTAGTTTTAATTTTATCAGTTTCATCAAGCTCTAAAATGGCCATAGACAGATTGATGCAAACCGTCACAAGATATCTTGCTTTTTCAGTGGCTTAATCTGAAGTGGCTTTAATCAAAGACAATTAAAAACAGGAATAAGTATCTCTACTGAAAAGATCTCTTTGTCACCCCCTTAATCCTTTCTTGAGAAGGCAACCCTTGAACACATGTGACCATTGTGCAGGTTTCATTAAATTGACATAGAGATCAGTATTCATAAACTGCCTTTCAGCTCCTGAATAAAATCCTGTGTAAATCACCTGTGGGACCAACCAGACTAAAAATAAAGTATCTTACAAGTAGAGCATGAGATTTGCCCTGGTACTGAAGGCTGAAAGAAGAATGAATCTGTCACAGGGTAAGCCATCTCCTCATTCAGATTTTAAGATTAGTAGTCACATTTCATAATTTGGAAATATCAGCACTTTCAAATTCATGTTAAATATGCTGCCAGGGGAATATTGCAGTGCTGGAAGAAGAACTATTTTGGCATGGCAAGTGGATAGTAGTAGTCAAAACATTGAGGAAATGATGTTTTACTCCAACAGAAGTTGTGGAAGCTGAGCCAGACTTCTGGCTCCCATGTCCAACTGTGGCTGTTGTCCTTGCACATTTGTGTCTGAGGCCAGTCTGACACAGAGGTGCTGAGCTCTGTTTAATGCTCCTGGACTTAGTGCTCCCAGGAATTATACCTCCTATGCTTACAGTCTCCAATTCCAACATGCTGGCAGAGTTGGCTTGTTTAGTCCCTGACTTTAGTAAGAGCAAGTTGTCAGCATCTTCAAAGGCTGGATAGAGAGGATTTGTATTCCCCCTGCCCTTTCCTTTCTGTATATTCCCAAGAGGAATGTCTGCCTGAGAAATGGAAAAAACTGCTACCCTGATGTGTGAGATTTCTGTTTGTTTGCTTTTGTCTGTCCTGTTGTCCTCAGTGCAAGTGTTGAGCTTAACTCAGGATTTCGTGCCCAGTCAGGCAGTCTGGGAAAAGCTGGCAGTTGTGTCTGGGACTGGGGCAGGGAAAGAAAGAGTGTTATTTTTGCAGAGCTGTAAATCCAGCACCTTTTGCCAGTTCTTCATTTTTACTTTTTTTTTTATTGCTTGTTTCTAAGAAGGTATTGCTGCAACAGCACCGGCTGCAAACAAAATCTTGTTTGCTCAAAGTTCATGACAGGACAGGTCGTGCATTTTGGACATTTGTGGGACATTCGTAAAGGAAATACAGAGCATGCTTTCCAAAAGCTTCAGCTTGAAATGCAAGTTTCCTTGCTGCCTTGGGCTTCAATGTCAAAGAGATTTCTATTTTTAGAGAGAGATTCAACTCAAAGAGCTATATAAGGCTGTGCTGGGGAGACCATTATTTTTTATTATAGGTGAGAGTATTTGTTACTCAGTTGGGGGGAAAAATTTCATATAAAAGTAGAAAACACAAAGATACTCTCACTTGGTTGTCTTTTGTGGGTGAGAAGGAACCGAGATGAAAACTAAAGACTCAATATTTGTTTTTCAATATTCTAACTTCTCTCAACTTCTTGAAACAAGTGCTTTAGCCATTAAAAATGTCAGACAAGCTCTTGATCTGAAGTGATGATGTAAGAGGGAAGAAACAAGTTCCAAGCAGAGTTTGATGCCAAAAGACAACTTGCTATGCTAATATGTGACAACACAAGGGAAAACCCCACAAATAATTATCATTTCCTTCACAGGGAAACTAAGTAAAGCTTGGTTCAGCCTTTACAGGTACAGATTTATTAGTTATCCTGAGTACAAAGTGTACCTAGAATGAATGGGTGCTGCAGCAAAGCCATCAGAGGCAGTGGTCAGGTGGACTCAGCATAGAAGTCACACTTAATGGCAGGAAAATGGAAGAGGATCTGAAGTTCTGCCTTTGCTAGGGAGCCTTCTTCTGAAGCCTGTTTTTTGATCACATAGAATCATCCATGAAACACTTAACTACATTACCCTTAATCACTGGGTTTGTATTAATAGATAGGAAGAAGTTCTGTGCAGAATTGAATGAACTTGTGCTCTGAATTAATGTTCTCAATGTGATTTCTCCCACAGTTTGGAGAGGAACTGTTGGGCTTCTGGTCTGGTTGGACTTTCCGAGGCAGCCCAGGTGACACCGGTTTCAGCAGCTGTTGCCAATGTTAGCACAGCACCTGGAGCCAACTTGGTTTGGCTTGAGTAAGGACTAAATGAGGTAACAGAACTAAATTAAGGACACTGGGTCCACTTCTTCTGCAGTTCAACACAGCTGCTGTGATGAATTCTGAATTAGGGATGGGACTGAAATGATTCTGGTCTTAACTTGCCCAGGCTTTCTACTGTTTTTATATTATCTGGCTAGCTGTGACGTAACCTCTTTGGCTTCAGGGGAATAAAACAGGGAACAGCTACACTGAATGAGGGGTGAAAGAGACACAGCAGCTGGAAGTAATGTGTGCATTCCAGTAAAATATGGAAAGACAGTGGTCTTGGGCTGTACAGGGCAGACTGGTTGGTGGTGAAGCTGGACATGGGCAGCGATGGCTGAACAGCTCGAACACGGGAAATTCTTTCATCCACCCAGAGCACTGAGCCGGGGAGAGCGGGAGAAATACCATCTCTACTTTGACATTTGTTCCTCAAAAGAAATAAAATTACTGGCATTCAGAAACACGCGACACACCCATCCTGGTTTTTTATTAGCAGCAGTCTGCAGAGTTTCTGGTGAAATCAGCTTTGGTGACCGACAGCGAGCACAGGGCAGGGACGGATCAATCGGCGGGCCCAGCCGCTCTCAGGGGCTCCGGGGCCGCTCCTGAGGGAAGGGCGGGATGGGGATGGGGATGGGGATGGGGATGGGGATGGGGATCGGGATGGGGATCGGGATCGGAATCGGGATCGGGCCCCGCTTCCGGCGCTTGGCGCGGTCTCGCACTGCCCCCTAGCGGCCCATGCTGAGGGCCCTCAGAGCCTTCGCGGGAATGGCCAGGCGTTGTTCCCGAAAAACCCCAGGAATGCGGCCCTAACTCTGCTATACCGCTCTGCTAAAGGCCTTCTGCATCCTCCTGGAGCGGGTCCACACAAAGCAGCCCGTCGCAGGAGTGGGAAGTGCTTTTTCCCCTCTTCCCCTCGAGGTGCCTCTGCCCCTCCCCTGAGGCTCCTCTTCCCTCAGCCCTCAGGAAATCTCTCCATGAAGTTCCCCTCGTCCTTCCAAGGGTGTCCAAAGACGCCTTCCTCGCTCCATCCCCTTGACAGCTATCTCCAGGCAGGAATCCCGGGCTGTCTTTCCACAATTCCTGGACAGTTTTCTTCTGGGATTAAACAAATCCCCGCACTGTTTCCCAAACAAGCAACTGGCTAAAGGTTTAGTAGTTAATTCTGATTTTCGCTTGCTGTACATTCAGATGGAAATTAACTTTTTCCTTCTCACTTTTAATAATAAATGCAGCATTTTTCTGATATTGACAAGCCATTTCTTAAAATGTTGTACATCTGGTCAGTCATCTGTCTTACCGAATGTATTCCCAATTAACCTGTTCAGTGTGATTTCCACTGAAATTTTCATGTTCCACTTGTAACATACTTTTCTGCCCTTGAATTTGTGTTGATTTTGTTAGCTGCTGTCCATAGCGAAATCAGAAGTGATAATTGCTAAATAACTAAAAGCTTCCGTTTGATCAACACTACCTTCTTAGTAATGACATAAATGTATTGCATAGTGTTTCCATTTGTAAAAACATAAATACAAATACGTTAATATACAAATGCATATTCCAAGGTGACAATAAAGGACTATAAGCTCCAAGGCACTTTTGGACCTGAGAAAAAAAATTGTTAACTGAGGCAAGATCTCTTTTTGTTTGATTACAGCAAGGTATATAACCCTGCATCACCTGAGGTTTTCCCACTACATTGTCTGGGTATGATGAAGAAAAAGCTTGAAAGTCATGAAAACCAGGGAGACACAGCATCACACCTGAATTTTTATCATAATTGGTTGGTCATCTGAAATGGTTAGTGATATATATTTGATCATTTAAATTGGTTTATATTTATATTTCATTTGCAAACTCTTTTTTTATATTAACTTCAAAATTTTGGTGCCAGTATAAACTCAATCCGCAATTTTTTCTTAAGCTTTGTTCCAGTGTCTGTCTCTCATGCCCCTCCAGGTAAGCACACTTCTGTTTCCTGGGCTCAGTAGTCTCCAGTTTTGTCAGACAGTAACATGTTCTGCAGGTTAAAAGGTCTCTAAAGTATATAGCGAGCCCAAGCACTTCTTTAACAAAAGCAGCAGCATCTTCTTACTGAAATGCTGCTGTAGGTGACAAATAGGGTTAAGCAACACCCTTGTGCTGTAAACAAACACCATCAGTCTATAAGTCATGATTGTACAATGATTTCCTCAGGCCTCCTCTTATTAGCTGAAGGTTAATTCAGCAGCACAAAATGCACAATGTTACAAAAACCAGCTGCACTGTGCATGTGTTAGTACAAGCCTGAATTTAGTTAAGGATAAAAATTTATTTGAAAAGCCACCAATTTCCAAAATATTTGTAAACATCTTACAACTCCTGGAGTCCTTTTGTGTAGCTCTTTTGAAACATATTTGCTGTGATACTTGTTCTGTGCATCCAAGAAAGAAATAAACAAACTAGGTAAAGGAAATGAGATTGAGGGGAAATGCTAAATAGTTATTTTTCTGTTGAGTACTTTTGAGTATTGTCTGATTGTATGTGACCATAAGTGCTTTTCATTTGAACTCAATATTTAAACATCACATAAAAAGAACACCAGGCAAATGTGGGATGGTTTCTTTGCCTTTTACCCCACTATCCTTGCTTTCTTGTGATACAGAAAAAAATATGATAAAAAAATCATGAAATTATTATAAAGCACATAAAAACATAACTGACACTATTAAAACCATAATTTGATGAATTTAACTGCTATCTCTAGCTTTATAAAGTTCTGGATTTATGTGAATGTTGATCACCATCAGAAGGCCCAAATCTCTCTTTAAACAAGACAGACTATGTATTAAAAGCAGAGTAGTGGAATTTGATCTGTTTTGATAATTACTGATTTTTTTTTTTTTCTCCTGTTGCTTAGGTGCACGCACACATACTGTGCCCTTTGTACAATGCAATAAAATGTAGCTTTACTTTAGTGAGATAATAACAAAGACCTTCTCAGTAATTGAGTGTTATTTTAGTGGAAAGCTTTGCTACCAGTGCAAGTTTAATTCTGCTTGTCAGGTGAAACTGATATTTTCTGATGACAAGTTTCCCGAGTCAGCTGGTGTTACAGCTGAAGTTGATCTGCTCCCTGACTGCTCAGTGCTTGTCTCAAACAGCAGAGGGCAGTAAATCCCCGTGTCAATGAAAATGTCTGATCATAGAAAAATTTTTCTTCCCTTTCCGTACAATCCCACTTCCTACTCATTCCCTATCAGAAATGGCCACTGTAGGACATACCCGAAGTAAATTATAATAAATTACATGTATAGGTATCATGCACAATTCAACAAACTGAGATGATTTTGTAAGTAACTGTAACTCGACAGAGTACTGTTTGCTACACTGCCTAAATTGTTGTCTTGAGACATTTTAAAAGGGAGCAGAGAAACAAGGACGAGGAAAAAAGAAAAGGAGGTAAGGCCAAAATTCAGACTCAGGGAAATGAGTACTATAAACACAAAAACTATTAGCTGCAGCTACGGTGGTGGGTGGCTTTTTTGTAATTTTCCATGTGTGAATATTTTTGTCTGAAGTGAAATATAAATACTCAGATCTGTTCATTTAGGCTGAGGATGTTAAAAAACCCCCACAAACCACCAAAACCAAATCAATCAAAAAACCCAGAAAGCTTGGGACTTTCCCTCAATAAAACTCTTTGCTCCCCAAAGCTATTGACTTTAAAACTCAGTTTTGCAAAGAGGAGTAATTTGATGTGAAATATTCGAGCATCTTTATTAAAAGACATAAGTTCTGATGGAATTAAGCACATTCATATTGCACATTAAAAGTATTGCAAATTCTCCAGCACCATTTTCACATTGCTTAATCTATTTTTACAATGTCTTCATATTAACAATAAGAATCACAAGTTTGATCTAACTGAGATAGGGCATTTGATCCTTGTTTTTTTTGTCCTCACTAAGACCATTCTGATACAGCATTTCTTGTGCTTCTCTTTCACGTGTTATCTGATGTGAGAATGTGAGGATTTTCACCAAATCTCTCTAGGGAGGAAAGTATCCCCATGGGATTGAAAATTGGCTGTTATCATTAATGACAGATCTGCTGTGAGTTTCTGTATTTTCTTACACAAAGCACACCACACTTTATTGCCAGAAGATTCTATCTTTGATTAGAAAACTACTAATGTTGTTCTCAGAGACATCAGGGAAGGAATTTCCTTACAAGCCTTTGAAGGCATATATCATTATTGTCTGACTTTGCAGGGTTAGATCCTTTGGAAAATGGTACTTTTTTTTTAAAAAAAAAAGTAACAATTTACATCCAAACAGTGATATATAGCTATGTAAAGGATGCCCTTTTATTTCTTCTTTTCATTAGTCCCTCAGAAGCAAGAGTATACACATATAACTGACTAATGAGAGCCCACAAGGTGTGATTGTTGGCATTGTAAAAGAGCCACATTCAAAATGATCTGGCAAGACAAAAAGTGGATTTTTATCATTTGTTAGAGCAACACAAACTGTTTCACTTGGAAAATGGAATTTATAAATCAAGAAGTGTCTTGCAGACACCAGATCAGCTACAGAGGTTCTGGGGAGTGCTTAGTGTGGTTCTAAACCGAAGAAGGGAAGCCTGGGGCAGGAGGTAGGTGGTGGGGTTTTATGTTTTCTGTTGGGTTTTTTCCTTAGGAAAGGAGGGAAACGTGATCCTGGGCCATATTAATAGGATAGCTCAATCTGCAGAACACGGGAGGTAATTTTTCATCTTTACTTGGTGCTGTGAGTACCCTGTCGAGTTCAGAAAGATGTGGGCAAATTGGAAAGGGTCCAAAGTAGATCAGTAACTATGCTCAAAGAGTTAGAAAGCCTGACCTATGAGGAAGCTGGGGAGGAATTTACTGTATTCAGTCTTTTTCATTTGGAAAAAAACCCCCCACAAAAACAAGTATAGAGGGAGGATTTAACCTCTTCACAGCAGGAAACTATTATAAAGAAGGCAAGAAAATTTTTGGTTCATGTTTGTAGGCTTGAAACAGAAAGAAATGAACTTTGCAGTGAAGTAAATTAAAACTTATATATTCAGTATTTTTGAGGACAGTGGAAGATTTTGCTAAGTTAGGAGTCCCAGAAATGCCTTCACTGAAGGATTTTAGAAGAGTTTAAGCAAATTTCTGTCAGGAATTGCCTATGCTCGTTTAATCATCTGGGCTAGAAGCTGGATTCAGTGGCTCTTCACTGAAGTTTTACTCTGGCCACAAGCCCTGATTTATGCTGACGAGGTTTTGACAAAGCCCCATTGCAAGAGGTCATGAGTGTGGTTGGTGGATTTGAAGTGTTTCAGCTCCAATCAGTGGAGTAAGAACCCCTCAAGGCTCAAACAGCCCCACACATCTCTGC